CCTAAGTTGAAATTTCAAGACAACAAATAATTAATGCCATTAAAATAGTCTTCTCCTTTTTTTTTTTTTTCTTGCTTATGTCGAGGACCGAAAGTCGTTGGTCTTTGGAGGGAGCGTCTTGGTATCAGAGTTATACAAAACCGAGGGTCGGCCCAGAATCTTAGGTTGGGTGGGCTCTTTCCTTTTTTTTCCCTCTATTCCGTTCCATTCTCCCACCAATTAATTTCTGATTTCGTCAATGAAACATTGCGAAAGCAGGGCAATGCCTTTTTTTTTTTTTTTTTTGAATTCTTAATCTATTTCTAAATTCTTTATCTTTATATTTGTTCAATTTATGTCAGAAATTTTTATACTTTATAAAAATTTAAAATTTAATTCTTACACTTTAATTCATATAAATTTAGTTATTATATTATTTTAATTTGATAATTTTAATACAATCACTAATTTCATTAATTTTTATTATTAAAATATTGATACAACCATTAAAATAACGATGTAGGCATTGATTTTACTGAGTGGTGTTAATTTTATTGACCTAGCATATATTTATTGACATGATAACTTAAATTAATAAAATCAATTGTTAAATTTTATAAATAGTCTTAGTACTTACACAAATTTTGAAATTTAGTTCTTTTACTTGAAAGAAATTTGAAATTTAATCATTTTAATATAAAAATTTTTTTTTTCAAAAAAAATTTTAGTTCTTTTAAATATTAAATTTACATTTTTAATAATTTAATCATTTCATTTCATTTTTTGAAAGTTTTGCATTTTTAATTTTTTTAATGTTTAGAAAATTTTTAAAAATTTAAAAAATTTTTAATTTTTTTAGAAATTTTCTAGTTTTTTAAAATATGAAAATTTTTTAATTTTTTAAATAGAAATCATTTTTTGAATTTTATGTTTTTAAATTTTAACATTTTATTTAATCAAAATATTTAATTTTTTGTTTTTAACTTTTTAGAATTTTTATAAAATTTTCTATATTTTTTAAAATTTTTATGTATTTTATAAATTTATATATATATTTAATATTTAAAAGAAAAGTAAATAAATAAATAAATAAACTATAAAGAAGATACAGATCATTAGAATTTATTCTGTTTGGTATATTTGAGATGAAAAAATATAAAAATCTAGGTAAATTGGAGAAATTGCAAAACACGAAAAGTTTTTTATTTTGATTTATTCTATGCTTGAATAAGATTAAAAAAAATATGTAAAAAAATTTTAAATTTATACTTTTTTTAAACATAAGATATTATAAAAAGTTTCTAAAAAATATGGAAAGTTTTATAAAAATTCTGAAAATTTTCAAGTAATTAAATTAAATACTTTTATTATGATTATGTTGAATTGGTCATGGTTAATATCTGAAAATTTATTTTTAAACATATGTTGTGGACTATGGACATCATTATTTTGTTATATTTGTTTTTTAAACTATAACTATTAATTTTAAATTTAAATAATTGAGTTATGATATTATTTTTATTTATGTTAAAATTATGTTAGTAATAGAAATTAATTTTGATTTAAATACTTTGTTTTTAAAGAAGTTAATGATCATATTAATAAAGTTAATTTTATTAATTGTGTTTGATCATATCATATTATATAAAATTTAAATAAATTAATTTAAAATATATTAATAATATCAAATCACATGTAATACAAATAATAAATATATGATTTTGATGTATTTAATTATTTATATTATATTAATATTTTAATTATTCATGTGATACACGCAACACACGACACACATACACGGTCTAAAACTTTTTCCTGCTAATAGTGGTCAATTTTGAAACTTTTATATAGAGATAAAGACAAAATCAGCAATTGTCAAAACTCAACCGAGGCTCTGTGAAAAAACTTGGCATTTTTCCCCTTGAAAGTCCCATGGATCTCAATTTCTTAGGTTCAAATAGAACAGATGATCGTGTGAAAAGCAGTGTGAAAAAAAAAAAAAAAAAAAAAAAGGAGTCAAAGGGAAACCTCGCCCCTTATTACATGGAAGAAAAGGCAATCAGCGGAAGCGCATCAGGAAACAGCGCACAATCCTTCCTTCCGCGTTTACTTCGCTTTGTTCAATTTCAAATGAGGTGCTGGTAGCATTTTTATTGAAGACATTGCTATGGATTATGGAAGCTAAGACCTAAGTTGAAATTTCAAGACAACAACTAATTAATGCCATTAAAATAGTCTTTTCCTTTTTTCTTTTTTTTCTTGGTTATGTCGAGGACCGAAAGTCGTTGGTCTTTGGAGGGAGCGTATTGGTATAAGAGTTATACAAAACTGAGGGTCGGCCCAGAATCTTAGGTTGGGTGGGCTCTTTCCTTTTTTTCCCTCTATTCCGTTCCATTCTCCCACCCCATTAATTTCTGATTTCGTCAATGAAACATTGCCAAAGCAGGGCAATGCCTTTTTTTTTTTAATTCTTAATCTATTTCTAAATTCTTTATCTTTATATTTGTTCAATTTATGTCAGAAAATTTTATATTTTGTAAAAATTTTAATTTTATTTTTATATAATAATTTATATAAATTTAGTTCTTATATTATTTTAATTTGATAATTTTAATACAATCACTAATTCCATCAATTTTTACTATTAAAACATTGATACAACCATTAACATCATGATGTAGGTATTGATTTTACTCAGTGGTGTTAATTTTATTGCCGTAGCATATATTTACTGACATGATAACTTAAATTAATAAAATCAGTTGGTAAATTTTATAAATAGTCTTAGTACTTACACAAATTTTGAAATTTAGTTCTTCTACTTGAAAGAAATTTAAAATTTAATCATTTTAATATAAAAATATTTTATTTTTCAAAAAAGTTTCTAGTTCTTTTAAATATTAAATTTACATTTTTAATAATTTAATAATTTCATTTCGTTTTTTGAAAGTTTTGCATTTTTAATTTTTTTAATGTTTAGAAAATTTTTAAAAATTTTCAATATTTTTAATTTTTTAGAAATTTTCTAGTATTTGAAAAATATTAAAATATTTTAATATTTTAATGTTTTAAATAGAAATCATTTTTTGAATTTTCATGTTTTTAAATTTTAACATTTTATTTAATCAAAATATTTAATTTTTTGTTTTTAACTTTTTAGAATTTTTATAAAATTTTCTATATTTTTTAAATATTTTATGTATTTTAGAAATTTTTATATATATTTAATATTTAAAAGAAAAGTAAATAAATAAATAAACTATAAAGAAGATACAGATCGTTAGAATTTATTCTATTTGGTATATTTGAGATGAAAAAGTATAAAAATCTAGGTAAATTGGAGGAATTGCAAAACATGAAGAGTTTTTTGTTTCGATTTATTAAACATGAAGAGTATAAAGAATTTAATGTCATGAAAGGTCATTAAACTTTCACCTAATTTCCAAAGAGGTCAATAAACTTTAATTTGTCACTATAAAATCACTAAAATTTGTTAAGTATACAAAATTTGACTATTCTAATAAATTTCATCCAAAATAAAAATTATATAAAATCTAAATATTGAACTCAACCAAATAACATCCAGATTTTCTATGTAACCAAAAATTCTTTCATACATCACAAAAGAATAATAATAATAAGGAAACCGACAGTAGAAATATCTTTAATAAATATATATTTGTTTTTTTTTTTAAGTATTATTATTATTATTTAAATTAAAGAGCATAAATATTTAAACAAAAAAATTCTTATAATTTAGTTAAAACATTATTTGTTAAATATTTACTCCATGAATGTAAAAATTGTAATTGCTACAATTTAATTAATACTTTAATTAAATAGTAAAGAGTTTTTCTTTTATTTAAATATTTATATTCTTTAATTTAAATAAAAGTGGCAACACTTGAAAAACCAAATATACATTTATTAAAGATTTTTATGCTCTAGGTTTACTTTATTTTTTAATTTTCTATGATGTATGAAATGATTTTTTGTTACATAAAAATTTTGGATGTTGTTTGATTGAATTAAATATTTAGATTTTATTTAATTTTTATTTTGGATGAAATTTATTAAAATAATCAAAACAAATTAAAATTCAATTACCTATTTAGAAATTGGGTAAAAGTTTACTGATGTTTCGTACAATTGTATGAGTTTAGTCAAATGATGTGACCAATGATACAGTAATCATGTCATTTTTCTATTAAAATTTGGATGGAATCTATCAACAATTAAATGTGATCAATTGGATATATTTAATAAATTTTAATAACTTGAATGGACTAATCAAAGTTTATAACTTAAATGGGATTTGAGAATAAATTAAAACACTTATAGCGAAATTTATCTTAAATTTTTTTAATTAATAAAATAATATCATTTAATTCATTAATAAAATATAATATTTATATATTGATAATATATCAAATATATATTTATTACAAATATGATGACTTTTTTTAATCTTCAATGATATCATGCACTCACCAATCTCAAATTAATTCTCATTAATTTTCTAACCCTAATTATTAAAATTAACAAATGAAAAAAAAGGAAAGAAAACTCAGAGCTTGCTTTTCTATCTATTGGTTTTTCATCTTGTTCGTTTCTCCCCCCCACCTTTCTTTAAATTAATTCATTATTGGTTAGTCTTTTTTAATTTTCATTTGATGATCAACATAAGGGTTTTTTTTTTTTTTTTTTATAACCAAAATCAACACCAATGAAGATATTAAAGTCACACACGAGACGATGTCCTTGAGTTGTGCCCTTTTTTCCGAGGGAATCCTCCATTTATTTGCTTTTTCCCTCTTAACTGTATTTGATTTGTTTAAGGTCATCATTAAAAATAATTTTTTCGTAAGCACACACATGATAGAAATAATAAGAGTACAAAATTTTTTGATGAAATAGAATTTTGATAGACAAAAGAAAAATAAACTCCTTCCACCCACAAAAAATTGGTTACATAAAAGATGAAGAATTGCATTTCCAAAAAGAAAAACGTGGAAGTAGAGAATCAGCGTAGTTCTTTGTATTTTAACCATTATTGGCTTCTACTTTTCTTATTTAATTAATTAAAAAAATGAATGCAAATAAGTGTAAAGGGTAATTCGGGTTAAAAATATTAACGATAGTTGATTTAGGGGATGTATGATATTAATTAATTTTTTTTTTAAAGAAAATTCACTTTTTAACATCATTCTAATATAATTTAAACTCTAAAAAATAAGAGTAAGTGAGAAGTCCAGTTTATTTTTCTTCTCATTTGCTATGTTTTTACAGCAGTTGTACCAGCGAAGAGGAGATTAGAAGATTGAATGTGACCCAGTATTTAACAGTTAATGATGGCAAACACCTAATCGATAACATTTGTCTAGGACTCATTAACCCTGGACAATACATTTATTAGTAAAAGACTCTTCAAGGTGCTGTACGCTGGGTGGTTTGCCGGAACAACCAGCTGATAACATCTGATGATGCTCTGGCAGAGCATCCGACGCTGGGAACATAGGGAGCTCCTCCAACTTTTCTGCCCTAGCACTCGTTCTGTCTTTGTCGATGGCTCTCAAAAATACTTGAAGAGCATCTCTCATCCAATCATACCGGCAAAATTTATATGCTTCTTCTGGGGAAAGCTGTACAAGACATCAAACAGTTCACGCATAAACATAGTTCAAATATGGCTATATGATCATCAAATTGGCAGAAATAAAAAGGTATTAACAAAACAAGTTCATCTTGCAGACTACTCCAAACATGTTAAGAGATAAACACTTAGGGCATTATCCAGATGATTTATATTAAAAGATAAGGCAATCTTCTCCATATGACCAATATGTGCAACGCGCCTGTAATGCCAAGTTAGATACCTAGAGTCTTGTTAAACCTTAGTTTTTTTTACTGACCCATTTCCTCTTGTAACTAGTCTGCTCTGCCCATGAGTCAAGTTCTTCAGTCACCTCCAAGGCAAACATATAACCTCTACAACCACCTTCCAGGCTGCAGCTGTTCTGTCTGCTCTTGCTTCTAAACTCCCAGACTCCCAGTGGATCCTCCTGGATAAAGTGAAAATGACAACATTATATATTGAAAACACCGATTTACATAAGGAATGTCAGTCCATCACAACATGATACATCAACTGCAGCTGTCACTGTCAGCACTTAGCAATGATTTTGTGCATTGAGGTACGATTAGTAATACAGGCATGTAAATAATAAAATTAAAACCTCATACAAATTTCTGCATCATCAAACGTCAATGTGTAAAAGATTACAAGACCAAAGCAACCACATTTCGTTTAGAAATATGGAAAGCTAGAACTATTTTGAATGCTGTTCAAACTCGTGCACCAGCCACGATATGTGCTTTAGATGAAAGGGAAGTTGCTATATAGATTCATATTAGCATGAGTAGCATACATATTTCAACAGCTCATTCTCATTGAACTTGCAAAGAGAAGAAACATGTGCAGCATCAGCGTAACAATTTTGACTGCACCAGAGCAACAGTCGAACACTGTAGTTGCCTCAAGTCCCATTTTCCTTTCCAAGACAATTTCATGTCTTTCCATTTTTTCTTTTTTGTCTGACCATAATCAATGATTCTATCATGCCATAGATCATATACAACCTGATAAATAAATATTATGTCTCCATCCATTCATAAGTACATCACCATTTTCATCAAATTCTATACCCTCCAGTTGCCATTACCGACTGGTTATAATTGAACGAGTCAAATGCTTTTAAAGAATACATCTCAAAGAAGGCATATAAATTTGATGGATTAATGTATCAAATAAAGCAAGATCAGCTAGCACCACTCAATAGAATTAGCTTCATGAATTAAGGAAAGAGAGATGGGTAGTGGACACACTTTGAACGAATTAAAATCCCTTTTGGGTACAAGACATGACTACTCATGTGTTTTTAGTAATTTGATCATTACTAGAAAGCCCAATTATTTGACCCACCTTCAACTTCAATACTTAGTCTCATTACTAAAGACACATGAGTAGTCATATTACTAAAGGCACTTATTTTTATAGTACTTATAGAAGATTTTTCTCAACGAGGAATACATAACATTCTAAACTACTAATATATATTCCTCATTCCCCAATATGTACCTTAGCCAAGAGCTTGTGGCAGTTTAGAAAGACATGATATATTCTTTAGATTACTAATTGTAGCTGTACTGTCAACAACCCATGAACTATATATGCAAGTGAATTTAATTACTATTAATTAAAAGAAGTCAGATAACTCAGGTATCCATAATATGAGTATTAAATTTAATAAGCAAGAACAGTTAGTCATGCCAATGCCAAGAACGGATATTGAAACCTACAGCAAGTATTCCTTTCACTCCGGCTTCCTCCAGGGCCTCACGACATGCTGCTTCATGAACAGTCTCATCATCTTCCCATCCCCCCTGACATTCACATAAATGTGTCAACCTTGACATCAACAATTCCTTCCATGGTATGGTTTTTATATAAACACATCAAATAAATTAAATAGTTTAGGATATAATGTGGGAGTGGGAAGATAAGTATATGCCTTAGGGAACACAAGATCATCACGATTTGGCGTCGATATCATGAGAATAGTAATCCTGCTCATCACATTGCTGTTCCTATCCTCAACATTTAAGAATCTGTATGGAATGCACCTAAATTTTTGAACCAGAAAGAGCAACTATGAGTGAAAAAGACAACAGAGAACAAAGCAGGTTTGCAGCTGTTGATGAAGAAGAATGCATCCAAAGAAACTGGTGCGTAAGGTAGCAGCTGATATTGCATCACTTCTAAAGATTCCAATAAGTCAATCTCTTTCACGACACCTTGCACTAGCTTATAAATTAATAAAAAGGCAAGGGTGCTTGTCATCTGCTATGATTTCAAACATCAACTGATCTATAATATTTACGAAAAGTGACATGGAAAAGTAAGCACCAAGAGCAATATTACCCACTTCAAACGAATTTTTCAAGTGCTCAACGACTCTAATTTATACCGAGAAAACTATCTTTAGTGTGTCCATTCTTAACCTTTATAAATACAGAACAGATGTAGCAGATGAAAAATTAACGAAGTAATTTCATCAATTAAATAGACTTCTGTGCGCATTAATCCTATAGATCCTGCATTTATTTCACCCCTCCCAATAAAAAAAAAAAACTTTCATGCCTCAAATAATTATTCTATCTTGTCTTTTCTGTTTAAAAACATGAGCACTGGCATCCTTCTTTTTATTTTTATTTACCTTTTTCTTAAAGTCCTTGTAGAAAAACAAGGATGTGAAGAAATTAAATAAAAGACAATAACAGGGCCAACAGAAAGTCAAGGCAAAGGCCCATCTCTGTTTTAGTGTTTATCAAATCGACATAAAAGCAAAACCACTATCACGTTTAACCACAATAATTTGGCACTAGTTATTGATATTTTGCTCTCTTTTCTTTTTGAAAGAAGCACCAAGATAAAGAATGATGCTTGCCACTAATTCTTAACACATCTAAGGAAGACATAGACACCTTATTCACCTGAAACTATGTTCTTATATTATCAACACTACCAAAAAGGTTACTACAATGACAATCACATTACTAGAGCTTTAACAGAACTGAGATAAAAATTTCAATGTTCACAGGCTAGAGACAAAATAATGGAGCTAGAACAAGAAACAGAAACAAGGAAAGAAATTAAAATTTAGAAAGCGGCGAAATTTTGAGATTACCCGGCAACAAGTCTCAGATTATCCTCGTATCTTTGTCTGTGTCTACCTTTTCGTGCTGGTAAAAACGACATGATATACTATCTGCGGCATCCCACAAAACACAAAAACGAAAGAAAAAGTAAAAGGTAAAGAAGAAAGATGATTAAGTCAACTACAACAAACTATGAGAAATGCAAAAGAATAGTGGTTACCTGGATTGTTGTTTGGGTGATCAAGAGCTGCATTCAGTAAGAGAAAAGCAGAAAATCCTGACCCTTTAGGTGAAAGCAACAAGGAATCTTTTTGGTTGAAGAACAAAGCAATGAGAAAGCACAAAGAATGAGCAAAAAAATTGTCATGCTCCGAGATTTTAATAGGAAAGAGGAGGAACAAGCAAGTCAATAACGGCAACGGTAACACTGAACCTTTACAAAAGTTTTTTTTCTTTTTTTTTGTGAGAACTTTAAAACAGAAGGGAATGTTAGATTGCTCCTTCACAGAAATTGTCTAGTTTTACCCATTAGCAGCAAGAGAGAAAGGGGAGAACGAAGGTTTCAGCGAGGACCAAATCAACGGAATTACCCTTACCAGGCTTATGTTTAGTAGTGGTATTAAAATTCCTAACTGGTACAGCTGTTATTCAAAACTGTGACTTTTTTTTGGAATGATTGAATCGTGAAACATGATCCTCATCTTTTCTTCAAATGCCAAAAGAGAAATAAATTAAAAAAAAAAAAGGAAAAATATCTTTGAGCTTGTTTACAATGTTTTCCAACTTCTTTTCTTCTAATCTGTTGTTTTTATAAGGCGAGGGACGCCCTCGATCATGGAATGATCGTCACAGGACCTTTTTAGCCTTATATTTTAAGTTGAAGCACGTCATCGGAGGTCCCGTCTAACTCATGGTTGCTTTCCTTCACAACTTGGGGTTGACGTATAGGCAAACCTCATGTATTAGTTCTTAGTTTTTTTGAAGGAAAATTTCCTTCCTTCACTGGCAAATTTATGCGTTGATAATGCATTTTACATGCAAGTCTTGAGATTGGGAAATTCTTAAAATTCATTTATTATCTTTTTTTTTTAGACAAATTATGGGTCCATATCCAGCAAAATGAAGGAAAAAGGTTTGTGTTTGCTTTTGGGCCAATAAGAAACAATGAAGGAATAATATATTTACATTCGTTTGTCAATAGTTGACAATAAGAGCCGAAAGAGAGAATGCCAAGAGGAAACAACGAAGAAACTTCCATCGACGAGCATCTTCAAAAATTGTCCATTACTTATAGCTCCAAAACAGAAGTTAACAAAATTTTGTTTGATATATTACATTGCATTGTACGAGAATCCAAGAGTAATTAAGTTGATATGATTCCTTCACATCAGTCTTGTATTACACGCCAAAAGCGTTTACTCTGAGGTCAACTCTTGCCAAAAAAGAATTAATAACAGTTTCGTTAAATTATCAAACTGGGCAGGAAATAGCCCCAGTGTCTAACCACGTGCAAACCAGGGGGGCCATCACGCCCTGTTGCCCTTATCCAGTCCAGTCGGTGATTCCACGACCGACATTTCAATATTCAATATCCAACGCCAAATTTTAATGCGTTAACTTACAACTACAAATTGCTCGCATGCGCGAATTTCCATCGGGTAGCAATCTAAAATTAGGAATTCGAGCAGTATCCTACCTACGCATGACATAATAATTACGTCATTAGAAAACTTAAAGAGCTTTCACACGTGTGAAGAAACGTCATTAGAGATGTAAACGAATCGAGTCGAGTCGAATAGTAAGAAGTTCGAGCTCGATTCGTGATCGAATTCGAGCTACTCGAGCTCGCTCGATTAAGCTAGATTAATATATAAAAATAAGCTCGATTCGTATACTCGATAAGAGTTTGATTATTTATATTCGAATTCGAATTCGAACTCGGACTTGAAATATTTTATTAATTAAAATAATAAAAATATATTTAAATATAAAAACTCGATTAGGCTCGCGAGCTACTCGAGTCAGATATAAGAATACTCGAATTTGGCTCGATCGATAAGTCGAGCTACTCAAGCTCGAGCTCGACTCGACAATAATCGAACCGAATTCGAATTTTTTTTGAATCAAACCCGAGTAGCTTGCGAATACTAATGTATTATTTACACCCCTAAGCGTCACATCTCAACAAATGGGTTCGATGAATAAGTCACGACGAGCCAGATGAAATCCAAACGGAGAAAGGAGGGGTAACCATTTCATCTTATTTTATTTATGATTTATTTAATGGATTATGAGATTATTTTTTAAAATTAAAAATAATAGTAGTTATAAAATTTAGATAAGATGATATGTGTATTCGTGTGATATAAAATATTAAAATTTATATTTTTATGTTGTTATATAAAAATTATATGTTAAAATTTATGTGACAAAAAAATATAAATATATCTTTTATTTTATTAATTTTATATATAATTATTATTAAAATTTTAAATTATATTATTTTATGTTTTTATTTGTATTATATTGTGTCATCATATTATATTTTAAATTATTAGATCTAATAAAATTAATTATTATAATAATAAAATTAAATATTATAATGATAAAATTAAAATTAATTATGAGATATATATTTAAATGAAAAGATAATTATGATGATGAGATACAATATGTTGAAAAAAATATCATTAACAATATTAAATTAAAATTTATATTTAATAAAATATATAGTATATATTTGAGAAGTTCATAAATAATTAAAACTTATTAAAATTATTTATTATACAAAACAATGTTTCTATCAATAAATATTTTAAAATATTTATATGAATATTTAATATTATTTAACATTTAAAATCTTAAAAATTTTATTAATAAATAGTGATAGATTATTCCATATGAAAATATTATATTTTTAACTTTCAAACGGGAACATACATATTTTATATTAAAATATTATATTTTTTCCTTTCAACTGAGGGCATATGAATTTCATTGTGCGGCAATGAAATGTCCGATTAAATTCGAATTTTGCGCGTTATTTTTCAGAAAGACTATCAAATCCCTTAGGATATAATGAGAACGTGAAGGCGAGATGAGGGGAAATTGTCACCAAAGGCCCATTAGGCTGTCTGTATAGCGTCAGTGCGGTGCAACTAGCACAATAACCGGGGTGAGGAAAAAAAAAATGATTTAGATTTATAGTGTTTGATTGGAAACTAATTTTTTTATTTAATGTGAATTAAATTTAAATATTAAATTTGATTTGAATTTTGAATTAAAAGATGAAAAATAAAAAAATTCAAATCAAATAGAATAGAATCAAATTACATATATATTTTATTATATATATTAAATTTTTATAAAATAAAAATAATAATTTTATATCAAAATATATTTACATATATGAAAATTTTATATTAAAATAATATATAAAATTTAAAAAATTAAAAATTAAAATTGATAAACAAATCAAACTAAATTTAATAAATAAAATTTAGGTTGATTTTATTTGAATCAAATCAATATTTAATTTAAATCATATTTCAAATTTTATAATATTATATAATATTTTAAAAAATCGAATCGAATTTTATCTAAATTAATATCACCCTTTTAATTCACACTGCAAGAAAGCTATTTGGATAAGTGGTTGAAAATTTTCGACTGAACCGTACCTCCAATTAGGTGCTCGATCGTTACTGGCGTTAAAGAGGTCAGTGAAAATTCTCAACTTAGAATCGGGGATAAAAATTTTTAAATACCCTCATTGTACATATTATAACTGAATTAGACATTTATCAATTTATTTTATTTAAAATTTTAAACTCAAAAGGCATAATAAAGATATGTTCAAATCCCACATATTTTATATTGGTTCCAATCCACATTTATTTTTTTAATTATTTTTTGCTTATTTATTTTTTTTTATCAATGTTTGTAAATTTTTTTTTAATATGTTTATCACTTGTGTAGTAATGTAAATTATTTAAAAAATAAATCATATAACGCTATTATTTTTATTAGTAATTTTTAATTATTTATTAACTTAAAATTTACCAAATGTATAATAAATTTTATTATATAAAATTTTAAATTTAATAGATATAATTTTCAATAATTTATTAGTTTCTCAAATATATACTATAAGTTTTATTATATATAAATTTCAATCATTTTTTTTTTTAACATTATACTTTATCTCATCACAATCGATACATTTATATCTAACTATATATCTCATAAATAATTTTAATTTTATTGTTATAATAATTAATCTTACTATTATAATAACAAATGTTATTTTTATTTTTAATCTTATACGTTTATATCTAACTATATATCTCATAAATAATTTTAATTTTATTACTATAATAATTAATCTTACTTATAATAACAAATCTTATTTTTATTTTTAATCTTATCTGACTTTCTATCCATCCGAATTTTAAGAAGAAATTTGAGATGTAGTACTGTCGAAATGAGCCAACCGTACCACCTCGATTGGATCCAAACGGCCCCGTTAATACGATTGGATCCAAAAAATGTCCAAGCGCAATTAAACGGAATGCAATTGGATCCACATCAGGCTTTAAGCGCTTTACGGGTTCAACTCCACAGTCCAGGGAAAGGAGAGGGCAACTTGCAGAATTAAACGGTTTTGGAAAATCCAGCTGTTCCAATGGCCAAAAGTGGTTTTGGGCCATTGCCTGTGTGAGACTGATGAACTAGAGCCACCTCAAGACAAAAAAGAAAATAAATAAAGGAACGAAAGAAACAGACAACAGTAATTGACTAAAACCTTTATACAAAAAAAAAAAAAAAAAAAGAAAGAAACCAACATAACTAGAAGGCAAATTAACCAAAAAACATGAACTCAAAGCGTTATTATTCATTAGTGTATTAAAATTTTATAGCTTATCAGTATCTCTTCCAAGTGGAACTTACCAAATGTGTTAAAACTAAACACTATATAAGTTACTCTACCTGGTTAACATAATTTGGGAAGTTTTCAACAACCATTTTCCTTGGATGCGCCCTTTCCAAATACAAGCAGAAGCAATTGGTCAATAAAATGCTCAGTAGCATTCACTTTGAATTCAGTTTGTGTACCTCATCTGTTACGGTATCAGAAAATTTACCGTCGAGGTTGAGAGGATCCAGGCTGTAATAGTGTTGCTGATAAAATATCTTAAACAAAACTTCTGTGCCTCTTGTTTTCCTCCACATAAAAATTATATAAGATTACTTATTTTTTGATGGAGCAATAGGAAAAAGAAGTATATATCAAAATACGTCCTGAAACTAGAGCAACTACATGCCTGAAAGCCACTCAAAACATATATGGAATCCAATACAAATATAAACATGCAGAAGACTGAAGAGAGAGTCAGAGAGGATTATTTATTACCAGTAGTCCTGGCAAGAACAAGATCCCCTACTAAAATGATGGAATCTATTCCGATCTCTGACAACAATTTCTCTGTCAAGCTTATGTGAAACATGTTTCATGAAACAATGGCAATCATAACATATTCGAAGATTCTTTATGACTCTTATGGCCCTTCTATCCTTAAAGCTAAGAAGCGCAAAAGCAACAGCCAACTTTTCACTATGATAAGTAAGATTCTGCTCCTTCTCCTCCTCTTCAATGTCATGTAACACATTGGATGTATAGGGGGTATAACCTTCAACTCTAAGATCATCAATTATTGAAATCAAGAATTTTTTAATTTCCTTGGATTTAGGATGTGAATTGTCTCCTGAAACAAACTCATAAATCATCTCCTCCACATTCAGAAAACTATAGCCAGGATTCTTCCCAATTTTCTTCTCCCTCATCAAATTTCTCACATCTGCTTTCTCAACCCATCTACCAACTCCACCATATGCATTGGATAAAAGAACATAATCACCATCATGATTAGGGTCAAGCTCACAAATCCTCTCCTTCACTTTCTCAGCTAACTTAAGCTCATTATGTTTCACACAAGCTCCAAGCAAAGTTCTCCAAATAACAGCATTGGGCCTAGTAGGCATTCTATCCACAAATTCCAAAGCTTCGTAAAGCAACCCTGCACGACCAAGTAAATCAACCATACAGCCATAATGCTCCACCGTAGGTTCCATCCCATAATCCATCTTTATGCTATCAAAAACTTCCCATCCATCGTCCACTAGTCCCCCATGACTACAAGCCACTAAAACTCCATTAAAAGTAACATGATCTGGCTTCAAACCAGTTTTTTTCATCTCAGAGAACACTTTCAATGCTTCTTTACTGCGCCCATGAACAGCCAGCCCGTTAATCAATACCGTCCAAGTCAACACATTTTTCACAGGCATTCCATTAAAAACTTTAATAGAATCATCAACAGAGCCACATCTAGAATACATATCAATCAACGCAGTACCCACAGAAACCGTGCGTTTCAATTCAGTTCTTGAAATAAAAGCATCAATCCATTTACCCAATTCCAAAGCCCCTAAGCTTGAAACCGCAGATGTTACACTAAGCATGGTAACTTCATCCGGCTTAAAATTTGCCGCCAACTGCATTTCTTGAAACAAACTCAAAGCTTCGTACCCAAAATTATTTTTTGCAAGACAAGAAATCATACTAGACCAAGAAACCAAATCTTTCTCAGGCATTTTATTGAACACGTCGAGTGCCTCCGCCACTGACCCAAACGAGCCATAGAAACTTGTCAGTGCGTTTTGTGTATAAATGTCAGAATCCAAACCGAGTTTAATTATCAGTACGTGAGTTTCGCGGCCTGTGCAGAGAGAGGCGCAGGCTTTAAGGACGAAAGGGAAAGTAAAGTGATCAGGGGATATGCCGTCACGGCGCATGGCGCTGAAGAAGGAAACGGCGTGAGAGGGAGAGGAGTGAGCGTGGGCCCTGATGATAGTGTTGTAAGCGAAGGTGTCAGGGGAGGGAATGTGAGCGAAAACAGAGCGCGCATAGGATAAGGATACGGGGGCAGAGGCGGCGAAGGATAGTAGGAGGGGGCGGAGGGAGGGAGGGTCATTTTGGAGACCGGTTTTGATGAGGCGGGTGTGGAGCTTGTACACATTATTCATGGATAGATATCAGTATGCATTATTGGCCTGTTTCTTTTTCCCGATTTCTGACGTTAATTGGCCTTGACCAGTTCATGTAGCGGTGTTAGCTGTGCTGCTGCAGACAGCTGAGATAGTAAGATGAGTTGAATTTACACATAAAATGAAATTGAAAAGAAAAAAGTTGGGGTTGTTTGAGATTTTCATTTTGTCAGAAGTTTTTTTTTTTTTTTTACGTTTTTTATTTCCGAGATTTTGTGTTTGTTTTATTTTATTTTATTTTCAAAATTTTAAAAACCTAAAATATGTTTGGCCAGTAATATTATTACACATTAAAAATAAATACTATTATTTTAAGTATAATAATTCAATAAACAAAATAAAAATATAAAATTAAATAGAAATAATATTATATTTATTAAATATAATTATTATTTAAATCATATAATTTACATAATATTTAAACAATATTATTTAATTATTTTTGAATTTAATATCATGTAAACAATATTATAATTCAATATAAATTAAATAATATTAATTCAATTAATTTCTAAAAATAATAGTTATATGAATTATTAAATATAAATATTTAATATTCAATAATCATATTTATTAATACAAAATTAAACATTATATAATATTTATTTAAATATTAAATATTATATAAATTTAATATTTTTCTGTCTAATTTTGTTAATTTGATAAATCAATTGATGCGGATACAAAATTTCATGCGTACATTGACCTTGTCACAATCTTTTGCAAAGAAATAGCAACAAGAACAGAGCTAAAAGCGTAAAACAAAGCTGATACCGTGGAGGAAATTAATGCCCAAGGAAGATGCACTTGACACTGATTTTGAGGTGGGAAGGGAAGCAAAATGAAGGGAGAAGATGCTTCTACTCCACCTAAAAAGGTTGAGAAAAGCAAGAAGTGGTCTAGGAACGTTGATGTGTTGGTTGATTTGGTAGAAGAGATAGGCAAGTTTGTAATGGCATACCAAGAAGCTTCGCAAGATATTAGGGGTACGTCATCATTCTTCAAGAAAGAAGCCGGGGGAATAATAAGAAAATTATTCTTTTCACCGAAATCATGCAATTGAGATTACTTCTAAAATATTGAAATACTTACTGCTAAGTAAAGATACATACAAGAAAGATTTATTTTTCGCTTTGCCCAAGGAATTCAAGAGGGATTACATTGATAAATGATTGAGTGAATGAAATCCCTACCAGCCCTTTTTATTCGACTTCAACCTAGTGAAAGCTTGTGTGGAGTTAGGCTGAAGATGAAATGTTGGTCGCCCTTTTTATGCGGCATTTTCATTTCACGGCCTGTTAGTCTTGTTCATATATTGTTGATTTTTTGTTGTTGAATATTCTAACTTTGGTTGTAATTATTGTGACTGAATATTACTTTGGTAATTACTCTTATTAAACTTGTGTGTACTGATTGTGTGCTTCATGGGTAGAAATTATGGCATTTTTTTGTATTAGTTGAAACATAAATAAATTCTTTTGATTTTATTCTTTTGTTTATGGGTATCTTACCCGTGCTTTGCCCCGGAGGTTGTTTATATTTTTCTAATTTTTTAATTATATTTTAATATAATTTTGTAAGAGAAATAAAAATTTACATATATGTGAGCTGAATTCTTAATATAAACTTAAAGATAAATATTATGATAATACGTAATTTGAAATGCTCATAGAAATTAAAATAAAGTAATAATACTTATTCATTGTCACTGTTATATACATAGTTCAACATCGAATTTTAATTTAAATAACTTGATCAATAAAAAAAATAGCTATTAAATCAACCAATTAATTTTAAAGACATATGAAACAAACTTTATTAAAAGTTTATATTTGATACATTATTAATATAAAAATTTTATACACTATCTATAAATCAAATAATGATATTTCATTGATGAGTAAATATCAATTCTTAAAATAAATATATAAAAATTAAAATTTTTTAAAAAACTTACTTTTTTTTTAATAAATTGAATTTTTATTTATCCAAAGTTAGCAAGAATCTACTATAATATAATTGTTCTACAACTTAACAAACAAAGAAATGACAATTTGTTAACAATTTATTCTAAAAATTCTACATTTAGATTTTAAACTTCACTAAGTTTTTTATTTACCATATCTTCTGCAATATATTTCAATTAATACAGCCTGTATCTTACAATTTCTTTGATTTTGTTCACCATTTGAGATGTTATCATCTGATTCATTTTATTAATAAATTGTTATCATCTGATTCATTGATAATGTATAGAATCTATATATTAATATTATATCAAATATAAACTTTTATAGTAAATCAAATCCATGAACATTTTAAGATAACATACATAAATAATATATTCTTAAAAAATATAATAAAACAAAGGCATAATATCACAATTAATATATATATTTAAAACATAGGTTGGTCTGCAATGTTTGGTTGATGTGAAAGTGAGAGCAACCATTTCTTTTATTGTTTCGTTATTGTGCTCTCATAAATTAGGTTCAATGTGCCATTTAATTGTTGGCTTGCAGATGGACTTGCAAAGGCTGGATGAATCACACTGAAAATTTGGTAGCCTGCAGGATTTGACTCGAGAATAGCGACTCTTTGGAGCTTCGTTCTTATTTCATTAACTGTGAGGCTACATAGCTGATAATGAAAGGATTCAGTTGGCTGCTTTCTTGGGGATAGTTGCAAATAATATGTGCTTTTTTAATGAGCTATCATTTATGCTTGAAGGATGCTTGACAGAATGCTTAGGATGGGTTATCTTCTTGTTACCTGATTGTTTTAGCCTCATTAGACTTGAATTAGTTGATCATTTGTAAGGTACGGGTTACCAGAATTGGAGTTGTCCTTTTTTGCTTGGTTCATATGGCTATGTTTTGGGATCTCGCAGGTGGAAGTTTGGATTTCAAACTTCATTTATTAATAAAAGTACTATGCTTTTCAAAATAAAAAATGTGGCCCATAGTGTTGCATTTTGAGTTTACTACAAATAGTTGTCTCTCTTTAATAGTTGCTATTCTTGGCTTGTGCTGTTCATATAATGAATTTTATTCAAAAGACTGGAGGGAAAAAGAAAGAAACTCCTTTTTAATGTTCAGAAGTTTTAGTGGTATTTGTAACCTTTTTTTTTTTTTGCAGTTTATTCCATTACCTTCAGTTGCTGGCTTTTACTTGGCTCGTTTCTTTGCAAAGAAAAGTCTTCCATCATTTTTTGCCTTCGTTGTGCTTGGGAGCTTGATGGTCATCTGGTTTGTGCTGCATAATTTCTGGGATCTAAAATCCTTTTGTAAACTTATTGTTGCGGATGTTAGTCTAGCCATGGCTGTTCCAGGTTTAGCCCTTCTTCCGGGGAAACTTCATTTTTTTACTGAAGTTGGTTTGATCAGCCATGCACTGTTTACATTGAGAATCGGTTTTTCAGTTATTCGAGCATATACTATTATGGATTGGATGATGATGTAATGTATCCAAGCTACATGATCATCATGACAACATTGGTTGGCTTTGCACTTGTGCAAAGACTTTCTGTGGATCATCGAATTGGACCCAAGGCAATTTGGATTTTGAACTGTCTTTATTCCTCAATCTGGCTATGTTGTTTATTACCTCTAAATCTGTTGTATGGGTGTCAGCTGTTCTTTTATTGGCTATTTCACCTCCATGCTTCTTTACTGGTAGGCACTCTCTCTCTCTCTCTCATTCTTAAATTGAGATGAAAGCAATGTTTTTTTTTTCTTTGTCCCATTTTTGTTCACTTTATAAACTTTGAAGGGACAAAAGTCGAGAACAGCATCAAAGATTAAAGCCTGGCAAGGCTATGCACATGTTGCATTGGTTGCGCTATCAGTCTGGTTTTACCGTGAAACAGTTTTCGAAGCATTACAACGGTGGAATGGTAGACCTCCGTCTGATGGTTTGCTTGTAGGCTTTTGAATTCTTTTGACAGGATTGGTATCACGTTCCTAAAGAATAATGAATCTCACATCGATTATGTATTAGAATTGATCTTAGGATATAAAGTTTCACATATATCCCTCTTAGTGCTAGAGTTGATCTTGTGATATAAGAATATAAACCGTGATAAATAAGTTAATCTGAAAAGCTGGAAGAGTGCATACTCGGATCCTGAAGCCGCCTGAATCTGAAAGTTGATTTTGGATCGTGATAAGTGATATCAAAACAAAGGAATAATCAATCCCTGAGAACTCTCACTTGTGAACTGTGGCGAAGCATGGCTCTGCACCTAAGGGCTTCCACGCCAAGCACCCAGTGGGGTAGGCAGGGTGGGCTGATCAGCGGATTAAGTGGTGCTCCCCCACGTCGAGAGTGATAAAGTGGTATCAAAGTCAGCTCTGAGGGTATAAACGATGTGTCACCGAGGACGATGAGCCCTCGTTAGTATGGGAAAAGATGTCACGGTCTTAGAAAAAATCATGAATCTCACATCGACTGTGTACTAGAGTTGGTCTTGGGATATAAAGATTCAGACATTCCCTTTATTATGAGATGTCTTTTGTGAGATAAAATCGCGTGATAAATAAGTTGATCTGAAATGCCGGAAGAATGCATGCTTGGATCCTGGAGCTATACAAGCCCGAAATTTAAGTATCGACCCATAACAGTTAGCTCGTGTACCCGTAGTTGCTCTACATTTCTTTCATGTCATGACACGGATACATTCTGTTGCTTTAACATATACTGTTTTGAGTTATTATTTGTCATGAAATTTCCTTTTACATTATCATAAAAACCAATCTTGTTTTGTTTTAATAAAGAGTTTTTAACGATTCATTCTTGCTTCCAATACCTTTTCTCCTCCTAAATCTCTAAGAGAACAAGCTTCTAACTAATAACTGTGTAGGCAAATTAACCTATTCGACACATACCTTTTTCTTGTTGAGTCGAAAATCATAGTTGATGTGGTGCTTCTTGAACATAAATAAGAAATTATGGTTGTTTTGTGCTGCTTCAAATGTTTTTAAAGAATGTCTCACAAAGTATTTTGTTTCTTCACAGAAAATCTTAGTACATTGATTATACTCAGTCTTGTCTTGCTTATGCAGTCTGCAAAGAGATGCATCGTACTAGTTGTGGCAAGGAAAGA